TTCTATATAACTTAAATTCTGTTCTTTCTTTATTTTATTCCTTTAACCTTTTACGTTTCGTTCAATTTCTTTCTTTCTTTCTTTACTTATTTTTCAATTTCATTTGCCTATTCTTTCATTCTAAATTTCATTCATTCTTTTATTTTCTGCATTTATCTTTTATAATTTTTTGTTATTTTCTTTCTGTCCCTTTATTCTTTCCTGTTTTTTTTTGTTTTTTTTTGTTTTTTTTTACCGGGTCTTAATTTCCGTATTATGTCTACCTTCCATTTCTTTCCTTCTTTATGTTTTTTTTTCTCAGTTTTCTCATCTTTTCTTGATATTTAATACCTAAAAATCCTCTTGCTCATTTTCTTACGCCAATGTTATTTTTTTCCTGAAAATAATCCTTAGCTTTTTATAAGTTTTTCTTTTAGTAATTTGCATCATCATGATCATGATCATTAATATTATTATTATTAATATTATTATAAATGATATTATTATTATTATTATTATTATTATTATTATTTAATATCCTTCCTTTTCATTCACAACCGTTAATCAATTCCATTACCCTATCTATTCCAACACAATTATTTCGTCCAGGGAAAAAGAGCACGGAAAAAATATCAAGTCAAGTCTTTATATATATATATATATATATATATATATATATATATATATATATGTATATCTATCAAAGATTTTATTTCGCTTCTGTTTTTTCTATACTTCTAATCATATTTTTCATATTTGATTGTTTCAGTCGATGCGAATGTTTTTTTTGTTTTAGTTTTTTTTTTTTTTTAGTTTTTTTGTTGTTGTCAAAATGTGCGTCGATGTGTTGAAATCAGTGCGCATGCGTTTGTACGGGCATGCGCACGTGCGTTTTACTCAATCTGTTTGCTCCCATGATTGCTCGACGACCGTCTGTTGGTTGATACGTTATTTTTCCTTGCCGGAAAGTTATATATCTATATATCTATATTTATCTACCCTTCAACTACACACACACACACACACACACACACACATACATATATACACATATATGTTCCTACCTATATTTTTGCAAGGCAACGTGTGGCCAATTTTGATATGCATCTTCGAAAAATATTCTACCTATCTTTCTAGCATCCGCCCACCATATTACCGTAAACAAACAAAGTGGCTGGATTCGAACGTGCATAACGTCGTCGGCTTAACTTGTAGATGCGATACCGTTATATTTCCCAAAGGGCCCTGTGTCCAAGGTAAGCTAAACTAAACACAGTGATTTTTAAGGCATGCTCTTGATGATCGCAGCATCAGCTAGGCCATCGGCTGGATTATACTTTAACTCAACTTCATTAATATGAACAGTAGTACACGTTATCCGAAATTTTTCTTATAGAGATTATAGTTAACCGCGGTCAAGAGCGCAAATAAACAATTCATGACTTTTATTCAATAACTTTATACGAACTAATCACATTATCCGCGGTTTAACGTACGCCTTTTAAATTATCCGCAGTTAAAACCAGAAGTATAGCTTTTATGAGTTTTACTAATAAATTACTACGGAGCGTGATGTTGGTATTTCGATTAGGCAACGTAGAATATAAAAAGAGCTTCCTTTAAGTAAAGCCCTAGCTATATATTGTGATTGATTTGTTCATTTTTTACGGCTTATCAACCCTTTAGATGTTATTTAAAGCCAGAAAATATTTTTAGATTGTAAGAATTATTTTTGAGATAATTATAGTTTAGTTATACAAGTCTTACTAATTAACCCAGGGAGAGAGGAGGTGAATTCATATCTAATCGAAATTTGATAAACAAATAAGAAATTATAATGTGGATATAAAGTGGGGGATCAATTCTATATTACAATAAATATATAAACTGGCCCCTTACTTTGTGGCCATGGAAGATTCTATACATTTATAATCCAGTTAATGTAAATAAATCTAAAAGACATGCCTGTGTAGCTAATCAGTATATAATTGATTTGTTTGTTTCATTAGAACCTGGACATCTAACTAATTAACCCATATCTGAGGAGCAAAGAAGTGAATTCATACGTTTCTCAGGGTTATTTGCTCGTAAGTGTATATAAAGAACGCAACGGGAATTGAAACTCCGTTCTCTGAGTAACAATTCCAAGTCATTTCTTCTGGACGGTCTCCTATGCTGTCATAATCTTGCCTTCTTTGGTGTAACAAGTTGGTTTCTCCCTTAGTTGCGCCCCATACATTATAATTAAATGGGGTTGCAGTCTGGGGTCATAATTAAGGGGCGATGTAGTCGCAGAAATTGTCTAACTCCTGGAGGCACTGAAATACTAGGCCAAACCGTGGCAAAGGCGGAGCAAGCCCCTGACTCTTCGTCCTGTTCCAAAAATCAGTTCGGGGACGTATCAAATATTAAGCTGATAAGAACAGATACTACACTTTGATCTTAGCCAAAAGACCGAGAAGTACGCCTGCTTGTGTGGCATGGTGTAGAATCCTGTTGCTAGACATAGGGTTTTCCAGCAGCCACCCTCTTGACCCAGAGCAGCAATATCTCTTCAAGGCACTTGATGTACGCCTCCGTGTTGAGTCTGAGGCGCTGTGGAAAGGGGAATTGAGGCATACCGTCACCATCGCTAGTGATCACTCCAAACTCCTTTGTAATCTCCAATAGTCTCATCCAACTCTTTCCGAATCCTCTGCACTGTCCTCAGATTGACATACAAACACGTGCGAATGCCAAGCGCTAGGGCATGCCGTTTCTAAATTTCTGGCGGAGTGAATTGTGTGATGGTGATCTTTTTCTCACCGACAGTGCCCAACTGACCCTACTATACTTTGCATTCGAAATAATCAAAACAAACAACGCGCCTGCACAAGATTAAAAATATAAAATAGCAACAATTTATTTGATCGCTCTCTCTCTCTCTCTCTGTATATATATATATATATATATATATATATATATATATATATATATATATAGATAGATAGATAGATAGAGAGAGAGAGAGGGAGGATGAGGCACTCACAGTAGTCAGAGACAGAGTGGCCTCTGACTTATCCCAATGAGAACGAGTCAGTATTCCAATCGATAAACTGGGATTTTGACGTTCTGTACACAAACAACACACTTCAAAATTGGATCACACATATATCGACAGGATGAAGGCTTAGCAATGGGCTCGCCATTATCACCAGCAATGGCGAATATATACATGGAATACTTTGAAGAAATGACATTAGAATCTATGGTTAAGATAGGTAGATGACACATTCAACACTATGGTTAACATACGCAGATGACATCTTCATGTCCAGGTTCTACTGGATCATGTGAACTCAATAATATCTTCGATACAGTTCACATTTGAGAAAGAGTAAGAAAACATTCCCATTCCTGAATGTTCTCGAACAGAGTATGCGTTCAAGTCATCCGTATACCGCAAACTGACATTCACCGGACAGTACCTCAATTTCAACACCCACCATCCAAATAGCGTAAAGATCGTTCGCTGCTTACAACGCCGAGCAAAAGTATTATATATGGAGACCCAAAGATTAGATAAACAATTGGTCAGTATAAGCAGTACCCTACAAAGTAACAACTACCCTGTGTACATGGCAGCAGCCCCAATAAACTGAGATAGGCGGGTGCAAGAGGAGGACAGCAACGCTCAGAAAACTGTCTGCCTGCCTTATGTGAAGGAGGTTATCGGGGAAAATACAAAGGGTCTGCGGTCCATATAACATTAGGACAACCTTCAAGAGGTGTACGACACTTCGCAGATACCTCTCCTGATTAAGAACCACGCCATAGAGAAGAACATGACTAAAAACTGTGTGTACGCCATCCCGTGCAGCTGTGGAAAGAAATATAAATGGGAAATAGGCAGCCCCCTTAAAGTTTGGCTTCAAGAACATCAAAAAGCTGTAACACGAGGGGAAGTGGAAAAATCAGGCGTGGCTGACCACATATGGAGAGAAAAGGGAATCAGGTTGAAATCATAGACAAAGAACATCATTGGAAAATTCGTAAACTTAAGGAATCTGCACATATGCTAGGCCACAAAAATCTCCTGAGACGACCAAGGAAAGAAATGAATACAATATGGGAACCGGTAATAAGGAAGGCCAGAGAAAAGCAATAATAACAACGAAAATTGCAATATGAGCTCTGGTAAAAATCATGCAATGATAATAGCAAAAAATTGCAATATGAGCACTGGCAAAAATGCTTGCTGAAGAAATTAAGCTTATAAGTCCCAGATAATCATAAGAATTACTTAAGAACAGATGGCACAGTGGCGAAATGCGTCGGTTAGATCCATTGACAGGAGGTAAATAGTGTGAGTTCAATACCCGGTTGAGGCAGTGGAGAAATTGGAGAGGAGAATTAGCAATCTTTAACTGATAACTGGTATCCATTAGATATGGCACGTGGAACTAGAACAGTTTACCCCTGCGAGCGAAAAATGGGGTTCAGTTCGACATTCCAACCACCTGAAGAAGGGCGGAGCGGACAACGGCCGAAACGTTGTGATAAATACGGCAACAAAGATGAGGACAATAGTCTGAACGAATAATGTAAATAATATATATATATATATATATATATATATATATATATATATATATATATATATCCTTTAAAATTAAGTCAGTGGAATCCGCTTCAACTGCAAGGTTCAAAACCAGTGTAGGGATCCAAATGTCTTCCTGATTTTTAAAGTTATAAGCTCTACATGTTATTTTTACTTTTATTTTATTTTTTTCACACATGTATTGAGCACTTTTTTATACTACTGGACTGATTCAACTCATTAACCTTATATATATATATATATATATATATATATATATATATATAGTCGCTTAGAATTGGCACAAGGCCGCATATATGGAGCACTCAGTGAGTATCGAACACAATACTCAGTCCTAATTGATTTGGTGAGACAAGCTTTCTAAACATTATACTATGTCGAAGTGCCTAGTGACTTACTAAGCGATGATTTACTAATGATT